CGCCCCTCGGGCCTGCCCCCCACCCCGGAGGGCCTCGGGACCCTGCCACTTTCTTAGCTTCGCCTTCCCCGCCTCAGCCGGGGGCTTTGTTCCGGAGAAGGCTCGGCCTCGCGCCCCTTCCCAGTGGGGTCCCCAGCTCCCACCGTCCCTGGAGTTTCGAGGCTCCCCTGACCCGGCCCTTCGGCCCGAGGCCTGACTGGAGGATCAGCTAAACCTTGAAGACAGTGTTGGGAGGAGGGGGCGCCCCGGCCGGCCCCCAGGCTCTGCGCCGCCCAGCCGGGTGTCTGAAGGATGGGCCCGGCGAGAGCACACCTCGGCCCCCCGCTGCCCAGGGTCGGCCACTCGGAGGGAGGACAGGCCCGCCTGGAAACTGCGAGACGTTGGGACATGTTACTCGCGTCTAGGCTTGCCTCCGGGGTCACAGAGTGGTGTCCCCACCTGTGTCCAGACTTGAGAGGGCCGCGCGCACCGCCTGGCGCATGGGACGGATTGGTTGAGTCCCTGAGAGCGGGGCCTGGGTGGGAAGAGCCGCCGGGTCCCTGGCCCCTCGCTCCTCTCCTCACCTGACCTCCAGTGGCCTTTTAGGGGAAGTGGCCTGTGCTGGGGCATCGGCGCAATCACAGGCTAGTGGCAGGATGTGGGGGCCTCGATAGCGTCCAGTTTGCTTGTGTACAAGACTGGCCTCTCAGATGAAAGGCATTTACGAGCAGGGACTTAGCCGGCCTTAAGTTTGGGCTCTCGCGTGTCTCTGTGGCCTGCTCCGTGGGATAAGGTGGCCTGAAAGCCAGCTTCTCAGCCTGCTTCCTGCCTCCGCCCGGCCGCGCCCCCCCGGGCCGCTGGCCCTGTGCTGTCCTCTTGCGCTGGCTGCATGCTTCCAGAGTCTGTCAACAGAAGCGCACCTGGGGGGCCCTCGAGGGCCCGGCTGGAAGACAGTTGGGGCGTGTCTGGGCTCAGGGAGCTCGCTGCTGCTGCTGCTGCGGCCACGTCTGTGCGTGCTGGCGAAGAGACATGCTAACGGCCACCCATTTTCCGACTCCAGGCCCGTTTGAAAGTGACCACGCCGCCTTGTCCCGCTTCTGCACACCTTCCTCCCGGTTAGCCAGAGTGCGCGCCTCAGAACTCCTTTGGGGCAGCGTCTCGCCTTGGAGGGCCCGAAAGAGAAGCCCCGTTTCTGCCGCTCCCCGACCCTGCCCCGCTGGGGCCACGCTGCACGGCTGCACGCGTTCTAGAAGCACCGCGCGGCGGGCTGGGCTCCTCGACTCAGGGCGTTTGCAAGGGAGCTTTCTGTAGCCGGCACAAGCAGGGCGCCTGGGCCTGGCGGGTGCGGGGTTCCCGCAGCGCCGAGGCCGTGGAGGGAGGTGGAGGGCACGGTCCTTGCCCGCCGCCCGTGTCTGTCTGAGCGGCCGCGTGGCTGGGCCCCGCTTTCGCTGGTTCTGTGACCCTGCGGCGTTCTCAGCCTGATTCGGCACGACTCCCTACCCGAGGCACTGGCCCTCCCACTGGGGCCAGCCTGCCGTCTCCCGGTGTCTCCGTCCACACCCGCCGGGCTCGGGAAGCCTCGTCTGCTTCCTGATCGGGTTGAGCTCCCTCGGCTGCTTGGCCCTGGGATTCTCCAAAGAACCAGTACTGCTCGGTGTCCTGCAGCGCCGCCCTTCAGGAGAGGCGTGGCCCACCCTCACGCCAGGCCGGACAGGTCCGCCGGCGAGGCGTCTCCTACGAAAGCGCCTTCTTGACAGAGCACCTGCCTGCGGCCT